ATCCATTTCTCAAGCCCCTTACTGGCAAAAATGGAGCCAAAGTGTGCCTCACTCTTATTGAGAGCAATACTGCGAAAACAAGGATGACAAAGGACAGCACAGTTAGTTCTGAAAATGAAATCCTTAAAGTGTGGAATTCTCTGCCAAATAATTTTAAATCAAATTAAGCACTTGGGATTGTTTTCCTTACTTTGTTTGGATCATCTTATGCTTGTGAACAGCTGTTTTCAGTTTTGAATTATATCAAATCTGACACCAGAAACAGACTAACAGATGACCCTGAGTGCTGCATGTGTTGCTCTAAAACTTACAAAATGTGAATCAAGGTTAGACAAGTTATCAGCATGCATACAACAGCAAAAATCACATTAATTGTTCAAAAGCATGCCAAATGCAAACTTTTACCTTTCAATAAAAAGTTGTTTGTATTACTGAAAGCTTTGTTATTGTGTTTTTCTTTTAGGACAAAAGATGTTAACGTATGAGTTATTTTTTTCTAAACTAAAACCTCAGTATTCAGGTTAAATTGCCATGTTGGCACTTTGCGATAAATAAGTGGGTTTTGGGTTGCAGACTGGGCACTCGGTCTCTAAAAGGTTGGCCATCACTGTCCTATATCATTTCAGGCAAGAAGCTGTCCAGTCTTTTCTTAACCTCCAGTGATAAAGCACTCACAACTTCTAAAGGCAGCTGTGGATGCTTCATCACTGAAGGTTTTTAAGAAAAGTTTTACTTATTTACCATCAGTAAGTAAATTATAATTATTATAATTATAAAAAGTAAATTTTATAATTTTTTTATTAAAATAAAATTATTGTTTATTTACTTATTTTAATAAGTGAATTAATAAATATTTGTTTATTGTTGGTCTAGTGTTGACTGTTGGTCTAATGTTAAGCTTGGTATTAATGTCTAATCATATGGGTATTGATTGCTACTGAGCAGGGGTTTTGATCTTTTTGCCTCATATCTATGTCTTCTTGATGGCCAGGAATTCTCTGGTGTTTTTGGATTTGACTTGATCTCGAATGTCCACAGTTTCCTAATTGAAACCATGAGTCTAGATCAAGCCAATTTTGAAATTAAGGTTTTCATTTTTTCTAACTGCTGTTTAGTGTTCATGAATGCGCTCTGCTAATCTTCTGTTTGTCTTTCACAATGTCTGTTACAACCCTTTCATTGTATGTTGTTTTTTCTGCTGAGGCTGCTAGGTCCTTTAGGTTTACTTAAGATAGGGGTCTTCAAACCTGGCCTTTTTATGACTTGTGGACTTCAACTCCCAGAATTTCTCAGCCAGACACACTGGCTGAAGAATTCTGGGAATTGAAATCCACAAGTCATAAAAGGGTCACATTTGAAGACCCCTGACTTAAGATGTTCTGGAGGACTTTAGTTGGTTTGTGTGCTGTGGTGATACTGTGTGATTATAATAGTCTGTTGATGGTTTCTGAAGTGTTTTTGATGCATGGCAATGTTATCCTTTTAAAGCAGTGGTTCTCAACCTTTTTAATGCCGCGACCCCCCAACCGGTCATAAGTCGAGGACTATTCAACTGGTCATAAGTCGAGGACTACTCAACTGGTGCAGCATTGTTTGCAGAATGGGACTTTTGGCAGGCTCAGCAGGGCAGAGACAGCCTGGACAATTCCTATTGGCTTTTGAAAGCCAATAGAATTAGACTCTATTCAAGAGAGTCTTTTCTATTGGCTTTCAAAAGCCAATAGAATAAAAGGGAGTAGCACAGCTAAGGAAAAGGGGAAAAAATGGCGGACTGTGTTGTTTGGCGACCCCCGTGAAATGGTCGTTCGACCCCAAATGGGGTCCCGACCCACAGGTTGAGAACCACTGTTTTAAAGCTTGTGTTGATTGAGCCTATGGTAGGTTAAGTGGCCAGGCACGTGTTGATAACGGTGCATGGATATCCATTTTGTTGGAAGATGTTGTATATATGGTATTTCCTTTTTCCAATGTTCAGGTTTGCTGCAGTACATTTGTCTTGGCCAAGTAGTGCTTTTACACAGCTTCCCTTGTAAAAGGTTGGATAGTTACTTTGGTAGTGGAGCATGTGGTACGGGTAGGTTTTTTTTGGGGGGGGGAGGGGGATAAACTTGTACTTCTAATCTGCATTCACTGCCTAGGTTGATGAAAATATCTAGGAAGGAGACCATGGTTTTCTTTTCTTAAAGATGTTGATAGTCTTGTATATTTTCTCTAGTTGGTCCTTTTTTATTATGACAAAGATATTTTCTGGACTTACAACAGTTCATTTAATGACTATTCAAAGAAAAAATGACCTGACTGTTTTTCACACTTAAAACTGTTGCAGCATCCCCATGGTCACGTGATCAAAACTCAGGCGCTTGGTAACTGACTCATATTTATGACAGTCGCAGTGTCTGGGCAGGGGTCATGTGATTACCTTTTGCAATTTGTGATAAGCAAAGTCAGTGGGGAAGCTAGATTCATTCTGCAGTGATTCACTTAACTGTGGCAAGAACAGTCATAAAATGGAGCAAATTTACTTAACAATTATCTCGCTTAGCAAGAGAAATTTTGGGCTCAGTTGTCATAAATTGATTACATGTATGTGAGACAGTTGCTAAGTGAGTTTTGCCCCATTTTATGATATTTCTTTTCAAAGCTGTTAAATGAATCACTGCAGTTGTTAAGTCAATAACTTAGTTGTTAAGTGAATCTGGCTTCTCCATTGACTTTGCTTGTCACAAGGTCGCAAAAGGAGATCACATGACTTTCGGTCATAAGTGTAAAAAACAGTCATAGCCCACTTTGCAAGATCTAATCTGGGTCAGTCACTGAAACCAGGGATTTACTCTTCCAGGCTTTCAGAGTCAAGCAATGTTGTAGATTGTAGTTACCAGTAATGGGTACAATTGGCCAAAGAGGTATGTCTTTGGGGCATTCATAAAAGCATGGGAAGATGTGTCCACTCTTTTTCATCTTTTTCAACACTATTCTTCTTTAGTGATTTGAGCTTTCTTGATAAAGTCACCGAGAGTTATCTTGATCCGGTTGTCTAGTTTCTGTATTGAATTGGTGTCCTGTATTGATTGCGCCTTCTTTAGGTTTTTGGAGGATGCTTGTCCTCTGCTTTCAGTTGGTTTTTTTCTCATCTCCTTTTGATCTGTGGTATGATACTTTGACCCTTTATGAGTCTCTGCAAGAAGTTTTGTGGTTCTAAATGCTTCTTCTAGGGCTGGAAAGAATTCTATTAGTATCATCTGTGTTGAACTTGAGGCCTTTCTGTAGGATACTGTGTTCTGCAGTAGATAGTGGGCAGCTAGACATATTGATCACCATTCAGGTTCCATTGCTTCTTTGGTTCTGGGATTTAGTTTCAATGGTTTGATTTGTAGTTTAGGTTTCCTTTGTTTGGCATTTTTCTGGGAAGTGGTCTTGATGGTCATTTTCAGCCTTTCAATGTACTCTGGTATGATGGTATATTCCAGTGATGGCGAACCTTTTAGAGACCGAGTGCCCACACTGCAACCCAAAACCCACTTATGCATCATTGGGTGCCAGATGGGTGTGGCCCATTGGGTGGGCGTGGCTGCGGTGGTAACAGCAGACTGGGTGGGACTTAAACATTCAATCAATCAATTCCAACTTTGTGAGATCTTTTTTTTAGTGATTTCTGCCATTTGCATGTTGTCTGAAGTATTATGCCAATATGTAATAGTGATAGAAGAGAATATTTGTAGCTGAACTGTGTGTGTATATATGTATATATGTGTGTGTGTGTATATATATATACATATATATATGTATGTATGTATGCATATATATATATGTATGTATGTGTGTGTGTGTGTGTGTGTGTGTATATATATATATATATATATATATATTTACCTTGAATGAATGAACACCCTGTCAGCCCAGATATGGGAGAAAGAAATTTTCTTTCTTTTCTTTTCTTTTGCCTGTATCAGCTCAATCTAGAGCCATCCACAAGCAGCAGTCACTAACTGCGACATCATTTTACATTGTTAGCTACCAGGAGAGAGACAGCTACCTGTCTCTCTCCTGGTAGCTAACAAAGTGGGAGAGAACCCGTGGCTTAGAGGTTATAACATCTGCCTAACATGCAGATAGCCCAGGTTCGAATCTCAGAAGAGTAAGTTTGGCTGATGAGGGTTAAAGGAACCCGAAATAGCTATACCATTCTCTCTTTATTCTTTGTTAGCAAAAACCTAAAAATCTATATATATATATATATATATATATATATATATATATATATATATATATATATATATATATATATGTATGTAGGTCTTTGGTTGTTTGGGTTTTCTCCCGCGTAAAATTGGAAGTGTCTTGACGACGTTTTTTATATTATATGATGTGTAAATAACATAAAATAATAAGATGCTATATAAAATAGATAGGGAAACAATGTGACAGAATATGTGATACCAACACACATGAACATGTTGGATTTTTCTCAGAGACTTATTCCATGGTGTGTTATACGATATGGTAATGGACCTATTCACAGGATATCAAATAATGGGGGGAAAAGAGGGTTTTAAATTTAATCTTCCATAGAATCTCTACTCCTTTATCTCAAGTATGGGACATGTTAATTATTTATTTGTGAGAGAAATACACCTAAATTGTTTTGTTCTTAATTTGAATGTTTGAGCTATATCAATGGAGTTCAAAAGAGACTGAGTCCTTGTTTTAAAATAAGCCCTGGATATATAATATTTATCACTGTCATTAAAGCTTAAAAAGTCTCTGTATTTTTTTTTTTTTTAATTTTACCTTTCTCCAAGAAGCTAATATCAGTGGGATGCTCAAAATGAATACTTGTCAAGTTGAAATGGGCTTAGTTCATAAGGCGGAATTACATCAGGTGCAGCATGTGTATAACTGTTTCATTTTATTGCCAAGATAGTTACAAAATAAATGTATAAATCACTTAAATGGAAGCTAGGAACCCAAGCATTAGTCAAAATCCTATTTTTGTATTGCAGGTTACATCAACTTTTTCTTTGGAACCTCATCCGATTTCCCATCTGGCTTTTTTCATCTGTTTCAATCCATATCTATAAGATTATCTGCTGCCTATGAGTATGACTTGGACAGAATCTCTTTTCTTTTAAGTGCATCCTCAGTTCTAACCAGACTTAGGTAGCCGTTATATATGTTGGTGTAACTTTCTGAAATTCATAAACATGAAGTCAGAATGTTCAGGAGAAAAATCAACCCTCCGAAGTGCCTCTCCTCACAGGAATGCTTATAGGGCTCAGTTCCAAGCCCTGAGAATGAATTTTGATGAAGAACAAGAAACAGGAGCAACTTTTCAGCAAACTAGGGGGAGGAAATATGGCTCTAATGTCAACAGGATTAAAAAGATATTCATGCAAATGGGCACAGAGCCTAGTGAGAGTGCTGATGGAACGGCAAAGACCAGAGGTAGAAGTAGCCTATTATCTCCTGAAAGAAGGAACAGGCCTATAGAGATTGTGGAGAAAGCAGATGGATCAGTTGTACAGTTAGAAGCTTCTGTTTCAGAAAGGATTAGTAGATTTGATGCTATGCGTGATGAGTCTTCCAAATTTATTGAAACCAGGAAAGTGTTTAAAAGAAATGAAGAAACACAGCCTTCCAAACACTATTCCTCAAAGAAGGAGAAAGCAGTCTCTGCTAATGAATGTCAAGATGAATTATGTATCTCTAAGTCAAACAAAGCAACTGCCCAAGAAGATTTAGTGGACAGTTCTAGTTCAAAAGCAGAGACAGTTTCTCCAGCTGTGAGTCAACTTAGTGCAGTGTTTGAAAACATTGATGCACAAAAAGATGTAATTGTTTCAGAAAAAGAAAGCAGTATAGAGTTTACTGTAACTGGCCACTACCCTCTAAATCTGTCTGCAGTCAACAAAGATTTGTCTTCCACAGTTGGCAATCTTGATGGCTTTAGTCCATTAAAAGATACCAGTGCTTGGCCCTTATTAAAACAAAATACTAGTTCAGTATCTCTCGAGAATTCTTCACAAACCCCTACTACAATTAATGAAGAGTCAAAAAGCACTTTGCCGGTTTCAAAAACAAATGAAACACAACTCAAAAGCGACTACTACTCTTCTGGTCTCTCTGAAATACTTGAACAAGATATAATAGAGGGATTTAACAAACAGGATTTGAGTGAGAATAAGGTAGAAACAGAATCTAAAGCATCCTCTTTACCAAAAAAGATATTTGATGGAGCCGAAAATACAGAAATGCCAGGAAACCTTGCCGTTATTGATGACACTGATTTCCACGTAGCTTCATTTTCAGTTGAAGATAGAAATGCAAGGGAAGTGCAAAAAGAACAAGATGATTTCCAGAGCTCTCATGGATCTAAACATGATGATTGCAATGTTCATAAGATAGAATCAAGATATAGTTTTGATTGGGGGGAGATTTGCACTGAAGAGGATGACCAAGAAGATAGTGAGGATAACAGTTATTATGAGCCCGACACAGAATATTTTGAAATTAGTGGATTATCAGAAGAAGATGAAATCCCATCAAGCAGAAAAATTAAATTTAGTACTGCTCCAATTAAGGTAGGTTTCACTAGCATATCTCTTGTATATACATGCAACTTTTTTATTCCAAGTTGGTTGTTTTTTCATGGTTGTTATTTTGCTAATGACTATTGATAATGGGAGATTTTGTCCAGTTCCATTGAGTACTAAATATTATAGCTTTCAGTATTCCATTGAGTACTTTGCCTGTTTCAAAAACAAGTGAAACATGAATTAAAAGTGCCTGCTACTCTTCTGAGTACTGAAATTAATATTCTGACTAGAAAATCATGTTGTGCTTTGGTCTCCTTTGTTAAATGTTATTTTATGGAACATTGAAGCCAATGTCACAAAAAGTTTGTCTATCAAGCCAATTTCTCTATGTAATTTTTGTTATTAGCCTTCTAATGGGGAATGAAGAGGCTGAATTGCTAGAATAAATTATAAGGAGAACCAACATTCAAAAGTGTAGAGAACTCAGTCCAATCTATTGCAGGTGCAGTAACACTTATCTATTAAGAAATAATTGAAGCACATTTGACAACATGGTGAACAGGTTAAATGAGATCTGATGGAAAAGATAAGCAGATGGAATCAAAACAACTGTCCCAAACAATTGGAGATTTGTTCAGTAGTGCAAATTTATTATTGAAGCTGTTTTTTTCATCTTGCTGAATATGTTAAATTGTATGTATCCAGCACAACTTGAAAATTCAATACAGGTGGTCCTTGACTTACAAAGATTCATTTAGTGACTGTTTGAAATTACAACTGTACTAAAAGTGACTTATGACCAGTTTGCATACTTTGGACCATTGCAGCATCCCCATGGTCACATGGTCAAAATTCGAGTGCTTGACAACTGGCATGTACTTATGACATTTGCACTATCCTACTGTCATGTAATCGCCCTTTATAATTTTTCCTAGCTGGCTTCCAACAAGCAAGCTCAATGGAGGAAGTCACAATCACTTGACTGCATGATTCAATTAATTACAGCGATTCACTTAACTGTGGCAAAAAGGTCATAAAATGGGGCATAATTTACTCAACTGCCTTGCTTAGTGACAGAAATTTTGCGTTTCACATTGTCATAAGTTGATGACTACTTACAGCTGTTATTTAAAACACTAAAACCATTTAGGGAGCAATTAAAATGTCTGGAGATGCAAAAAAAAAAGTGTCAGTCAACAACACTTATGTTAAACTTTAACTCAGCGGTTCTCAACCTGTGGGTCACAACCCTTTTGGGGGTCTCATGAGCCTTTCACAGCGGTCGCCTAAGACCATCCTAAAACACATATTTCCGATGTTCTTAGGGCTTGTCAACCACCTTCTCTCCCTTCCCCCTTCTGCTCCACCTCACTTGTTTGTGGAAAATATGCTGCTTGGCAGTCTGCACGAACTCTACCAAATGTGCCCTGCAGGGGGTGCATGAAAAGCGCAGGCGCAGAGCAAGGCCCTGCCCTCCCCAGAGACTCATTGTGCAGCAACTGGATTGACTTCTTTTCGTGCACACAGGTCAGCGAAGGGGAGGCCGCTGCAGCACTCAACTCCTGCACCCGTCAGCTGGTGACCCCAAACTTGCGCCAGCTGACACAAGAGGGAGGGAGGGAGTAAGGGACTCTTCCTCTTCTCCTAAGCTTCAAAGCACAATCGGCTTCCCAAGGGCGCCACAATCCTCAACGAAAGCGGGGGGGGAGAAGCAAAGGGGGCGAGAAAGCTCGCGGCGGGCTTGAAGCAGCACCTGCCAGCATTGGTGATGAGAAATTCCCCACAAACCCAGGGAAGGGGTGGAAAAAAGGAGCCCCCTTTGGGAGGAAACCGCCACCTTCTTCTTGGCTTTGCGCTCTTCTGTTTGTCGGCAGCCGGGCTGGCAAGCCTCTCCTGGCTGGAACTTCCTTTCCCTCCCTCTCTCATGGTCTCTTCCTCCTTCCCTACCTCTCCCATTGTCCCTTCCCTCCTTCCTTTTCTTCACCTCCCTCTTTGACCTTCCCTTCCTCTCCCCCTTGTCCCTTCCTTCCTTCCTTCCTTCCTTTCTCCTCCCTCTTTGCCCCTCCTTCCCTCCCTCTTCCCATTGTCCCTTCCGTCTTTCCTTCCTTCCCTCTTGTCCAGGATCGGGGTGAGCCTCTACTGCTGATCCATGCTTCTGCAGCTGTAGCTGCTCTCCTTGGCTCCTGCCCAGCAAACTTGCTCACTAGAAAACATGTGCTTGCTAATTTAGCAGAAGCGTGAATCAGCTGTAGCCCAGTGCTGATCCTGGAGCTTCTGCTAACTTAGCAAGCGGCATGCCTTCGGCGAAGCTGAGCAAGTGAGCTGGGCGAGCTCTCTTCTATCTCTGCCTGTGCATAGACAGGTTTGCCAGCAGTAAAGCCCCCAGCCACGCTGGCAGCCTATCCCCCTCCCCTTGTCCCTTCCTGGGCACCGGGGGGGGGGGGAGGAAGGAAGGGACGAAGAGGGAGGGAAGTAAGGAACAATGAGAGGGGGAAAGAAGGGAGGAATAATGGAAGGGAGAAAGGGACAAAGAGGGAAGGAAGGAAGGGACAAGGGGGGAGAGGGAGGGAAGGAGGAAGAGAGTAAGAGGGAGAGGAAGGAAAGGAGGGAAAGAAGGAAGGAAGGGACAATGGGAGAGACGGAAGGAAGGAGGAAGAGACTAAGGGAGGGGAAGGAAAGAAGGAAAGGACAATGGGAGGGGGAGGGAAGGAGGAAGAGACTAAGCAGGAGGTGAAGGAAAGGAAGGAAGGCAGGGACAATGGGAGAGGGTGGGAAGGAGGAAATGACTAAGAAGAGGTGAAGGAAAGGAAGGAAAGAAGGAAGGAAAGGTGAAGGAAAGGAAGAAAAGAAGGAAGGAAGGGACAAGGGGAGAGAAGGGAGGGAAGGAAGGCAGGCGCCCACCCCAGTCCCATCCCAGAGACCCACAGATTCCCCCCCCCACAGGAACTCTGCAACCTGAGTGATCAGCTGGCCACGCCCCCTGGCCATTGATCACATGACCCTGGGACACTGTGAACGTCATAAATATGAATCAGTTGTCAAGCATCCGAATGTAAATCACATGACTCTGGGGATGCTGCAACAATCGTAAGTGTGAAAAATGATCATAATTCGCTTTTTCAGTGCTGTTGTAACTTCAAACAGTCACTAAGCGAATTGTTGTAAGTCGAGGACTACCTATACTTTCCCATTTTTTCCTTTTTTTGGGGGGGTCAAGTTTTTGATACCCCCCTCCCCCGGCCAACTGGATGGGGGGGTTGGGTGTCACCACAACATGAGGAACTGTATTAAAGGGTTGTGGCATTAGGAAGGTTGAGAACCACTGCTTTAACTTAATTATATATTTTAAGTTTTTCATCTGCGAAATGATATGCTATATGCTATGTACTCTTCATTTTAAAAAGTTGTTTTTAATGTTTATTTTTAACCTCTTTTTTTCCAGTGCTCAAGATGGGGTATATACTTTCCTATTAGTATAACAACAACCCTGTGAGGTTCATTAATCTCATTGCTGAGTGAATTTTAATTTGGGATTCCATTCTCTTTGATCTTTCCTGTTATTTTTAGCGAAGATTGAAACTTAATTTTTTATTTCAGGCTTTAAACCAGTGGTTCTCAACCTTTTTAATGCCGTGACCCCCAACCGGTCGTAAGTCGAGGATTACTCAACCGGTCGTAAGCCAAGGACTACTCAATTGGTGCAGCACCGTTTGCAGAATGGGACTTTTGGCAGGCTCAGCAGGGCAGAGACAGCCTGGACAATTCCTATTGGCTTTTGAAAGCCAATAGAATTAGACTCTATTCAAGAGAGTCTATTCTATTGGCTTTCAAAAGCCAATAGAATAAAAGGGAGTAGCACAGCTAAGGAAAAGGGGAAAAAAATGGCGGACTGCGTTGTTTGGCGACCCCCGTGAAATGGTTGTTCGACCCCAAATGGGGTCCCGACCCACAGGCTGAGAACCACTGCTTTAAACACACATACAGTCACTACCAGAGAATTCTGCGCTCCTAAACTACTTTCATTTTTAAAAAATTGATGTTAAATATTTTAGAGTCATAACTCTATATTTAACAACTGATAAACAGCAGTATTATAAAAGTAGCTTGCAATTAGCTATTAGCTTGTTTAATTATTATGATTTTTAAAAAAGATAAATATACAAGAGAAAGAAAAGAATCTATGTGGAGGAAAATGCTGAATAACAATGTTTCTTTTTTCTTTTTGTTTAGAATTGATACTTATAGCATATTCTGTTATTTCCCTTTATTGTTTGGACTCAGCTTTGCCAGTTTACTTCTGAAATTATCAGGATGACTATTATATGTTCATTTTTAGTTGTAAAACTCTGTAAATTCTGGCAGTCACACAAAACTGGTTTTCATCTTATTAAAAAATAACCCATTTATTATTCAGGTATATATTACTATTTAGAGCAAGAGTTTCCACTTTAAGATATATGGACTTCAGCTCCAGATATCTTCCTAGCCAGCATGCTATAATATTACTAGAATCTTTGTTCTCCAGCATGATGAGTGTAGAATCCACCAGTGGGTAATTTCTGAGCCTTCCTGCTCAGTTGAGACTAAGTCAGAATCTTTAGCCACGCCTCCTTCTGGGCCGCACCCTCCCAGTTTTTGACTTAGTCTCAGCTCAGTAGGACGCACTCTATTTGGCTCCTCAGTTTAGACTAGGTTAAAGTTAATTAATGAGTTAGGTAATTAATTTATTTAATCCAAATTTCTAATTTGATGCAGATACCAAATTATTCATTGGATTGTTGAATTTGCAAAGCCCTTTCTTCAGGCCAACTGCAGCTTTGGCTTCAGAGAGCCTGCAGGCTCGATAGGAGTTGGAATTAGGGCTTTTGGATTGCGGAGCTGCAGGCTCCGCTTCTCAGCTGATCCGCGCGAAGCGGAGATTTCCTTTACCGGGCGCTGCTCTTCAGAACTCTGGAAGGCCGGAGGGCCTCGTTGGGACCGCGTGATAGTTGCGAGGCTTCGTTCGATGATCGGATCGCAGCGGAGGCTGCGCAACGAAACTGCAA